GCTCCATACTTCCTTTCCTCGGGGAGCCTCCGCGGGCACTGAGGCCACTAACAATGAAGCAGGTAATCAGCGCTGTTACCAGCATGATCCTTCTCACATGCGCTCGTTATTTGTGTAAGCACTTCCTGTGAGAGCGAAAGGTCTGCATGTAGTGCTAAGAGCCCACAGTTTTGAGGCCGTGGGGCAGGGCAGGTGTACATGGCTTCCGGCATCGCATGAGCAGGCCATGCGATGCAGGCTTCCGGCATCGCATGAGCATTACATTCCTACTGACTCGCAGTGTAATAATCATTGGTGATCTCTAAAGATGTCCGTGTTCTTCCCCACCAAACAGGGGTGAGCTCACCTCCAGAAGCTGGAGAGCATTAAACGGAAAGTTGTTGCCTCGTAGCGGGAAACATGGATGTGATACAGGGCACTCCTGCAGTGACTGGCGAGTTAAGACTGTTAAGGCTTTCCAAGACAAGTTCCTGTCTTAATAAGGGACCACAGAAAGAAGTGACTTACCTCCTACAACCCAACTATCATATACATTCTTAAAATCTTAGGAAATGGGATTCTTTTCTCACTTGCAAATGTTAAATATATTAATATTGTTCTTTGAATAAAATTAGGTAACCTCCAATTATTTCACCTGTACGTAGAAACTGTTCTGGTTTGTGTCTAGGTGTCCCCCCAATGCCTCATGCAGTCATGGGGTGGCTTCTGACGCCTGTGACTGATTACTGCGGGTATGGGTGCCGCACCTGCCCTGGGGCAGGTAATTTGCATTACAGTGTAAGTAGGGATTAGTTGCTAGCTAGCTGCCTGGGCTGCTGCCACTCCCTTTGCTCTCTTGCTCTTTGCCACTGCCATGAAAGGTTGCTCTGTCATGTGCTGCTCTGCCTTGGAGCCAGTTGAGTACGGCCCGAAGCCTCCAGTAACTGTGAGCTAAATAAACCTTTCCTTCCTTCCTTTTGGGTATCAGGTATCTGTCCCAGCAACAAGAAGAGGAACTGAGACACTGTCCTTTAAGAATGGGAGTAAGGTACTTAGCTATACCTGTGATATACCTATCTCACTATACAGTTTCGTTACTTTCTCTTCAGTAAAAAAAAGAAATGGTGCAATTCGAGAGCTAGTTCATACAGGAAAGCCACACAATCAATAAGCGGGCATCATCGAATGATAGAAATACCAACTGAATTCAGAATGGAAAAGAATGAGCCAATTTTAACTTCATGGAAAATCTCCTTCTGTGTTGTTAGGAACACAAGCGTGGCAGGTATGTATTTGAGGGAAAACATTACCTAAAATAATGAGACTCTGGACAGCTTACAGTGTGAGAACACACTACCAAAGAAATCTTTTGTTTTCTGGGAAGAATAACAGCAGGCAGGGTATGGAGGTAGACCCCAGATGTCAGTTTAACAGTTCACACTTGAATATGGTAGTCTCAGAAAATTGCAAAACGCCGCTGCTGAGCCAGTTACCAGTAAGATTCCACCTACGTATGCACTACTGAAATATCTTCCTACACACTCAAGCCTAAGTGACCTGCCAATACCGGGTGCCTGTGAGAGTTCTAAGACAATGGCCTTGCTTGCTTAGGATTGTGTGTGGGCGCTGAACACGGTACTTTAAACAAATTTATGAGGTGCAAATTTTTCATGCTAAGATGACTCATAAGGTTTCAGAATGTGTAAATACGAAGCACATTCTAATTTATACCATTACTTACTGTTCAGGCTATTAGGACACTCACAAAATTCGCCCCGCTTCCTAAACTGATGGGAGAAAATCTGTGGGTTTATGATTGGTAACATTTAGATGGCGTGGCCACCTGAAAGCAATGCCATACCTGAACCTGCATTTTGTGATACATTTTGATGGGAGCATTCAACTAATTCTATGTCTTGAGATTATGAGACGGTACAATGAAAAGCTTAAGTATATGACAGCTGTAAAGAAAAAAATTCTGGAATTTTATCATTGTAGCTCTTTAGATTTCTTTCAATTTACACCAGTACAGAACTATGCTATAAGTAGAATATGTTAAATACCTTCCTGAAAGTTTAATGAAGCAAGTAATTATGGTGCATTAACTATGAAGTCAACCAAAATTAGGAGGCAATTTTTCAATGAAATGTCTCAATTTGTGGTAACCAGTATACAATGCATACCTATATCCAATCTTGTACCCTGGAACATTCTCAATTTGTCAACAAAATATTTTAAAATTTAAAAGAGAATGTAAAATGACTATAAGCATTTCATATGCACACTGAACTAAAAACTAAAATTCAGTGTTTTATGATTCATTTCTGGTGCTCCTTGAAGGTCCTAACCAATTGTTACAAAAATGTCATGAAAATTCCTTTTGGTTGAAACTGAACTGGTAGAATCAGGCCTTTACCATTATCAGGGTAATCCTTTAGAATAAAATCCCTTTGCTGTCACAGTGACAATCCTGGAAGTTGTGACTAGAAAAGGTGACATGGCTGGAGACCCAAAATGCAACACAATGTTGTCTAAATACTGCACCACGGTGTGCCCCTCATGGATGGGAAGAATATGAAGGAATAAAGGACCTGAATGAACCAATTTTGTGATAGGACCAATCATTATTCATAGTTCTTTAAAAAATGATTGTTAGACCAGACGTGGTGGTGCGCACCTGTAATTTCAGCACTGGGGAGGCTGAAAACAGGAAATCACTACAAGTCTGAGCAGCGTAGTGAGACCCTGTGACAAATACATTAAAAAAGAAACATTTTAAAAATTCGCTAAAACTTCATACACAGTAAAAGCAATCTGATTTTTCTGAGGTTGGAAATTTAATGAGTCGGTTATGAACTTAATTTTGGACCAAATAAAACCTTTCATTTTTAAAATTCCATTTTCATAGGTCAACAGAAACAAAAGCCAAAGAATAAGTTTAATTTTTTTTGAGAGACAGAGAGTTTTGCTATGTAGTTCAACCTGGTTTTGAACTATGTAGCTCATGCTGGCCTGGAACTGACAGCAATTCTCATGCCTCAGCATCTCAAGTGCTGGGCCTACAGTCATATGCCACCAGGCCTGGCAGTTTTATAGATTTAACTACTAAATACTCAGAAAAATCTTAGCCCCTGCATTTAATATCTTTCTTCATTTCCATGAAGACAACAATTGTCTTCACTGCTTAGGCCGACACAGAGGCTGGGCCATGCCGTCCCCGTCCCTGGGGCATGCTGACACAGCAATCGAAACTGGGCATGGTGTTGCGTGCCTATAATCCCAGTGCTTGGGAGGCTAAAAAACAGGAGGATCACTATGAGTCTGATCTGTGTAGTAAGAACCTGTAGACCCTGTACTAAATACAGAAAAAAAGTCTTTAAAATGGATGCTATAGTTAACACTGAGTTTTTTTGAGATTAATTTGTCTCCAATAAAAATGTGAAGGTATTGGAACATCATTTTATTAACTTTGGAGGCCCACTTTTGAATTTTATTTGTGAGGAGCTTGCAGATAACAAGTTAGCTTGGACTGCCTGAAAATGCCACCCATGCAGCTAGACCATCAGGTGGTTTTTAGTTAAGCAGAAACTATCATATTTGGCTAAATATTTCAAGTTCCTCCAAACCCAAACTGTGCACTCAGTTCTCACTTCAGCCATTTACTCTTGAATTCAGTTTCCTAGACGAGGCAGCGCTCTTGGTTTCATTAACTTAACATGTTGGTTTACTTTCTTTTGATGACTCAATGCAATGTGAGGTGGAAGTGTAAGCAAAATCAGTGTCTCGTCAATAATCCATGAGCATCTGAGTAGCAGAGTGAGGGAACCACATGCTTGGGAACTCCCGTGCACACTAGTCACGAGCCTTCGATATTGTCAACTGTAATTGTAAAGCACAGCAGGTGCTAGGGGCCTCACAGTCATCCAACTCTACAGCTTCTACTTAGGTTGTTTTATTAACTAAGGACATGAGAAAATTTTTTTCTAAAGGCGGGCTCAAAGCAACATATGCTACACCTCTATGGCCTGCTACCCAGCTCACATGGTAATTCCTGTCCCTCTCACTAAATGGGCTTCCCTCCTTGTGAAGTGCCCTCCCACAAAGACCATATGACACAGCATGTACTGAGATGTCAGTCCCTATTCGTCCTCATTTTGTAACACTGAAGTTTGTATTTTGTATGGGCAACTTGACCCCAAGTTCACAAAGGGCAGAGTCATAGCTTACATTTTTGCACTCTTCTCTCCTATCCTGCACTGTAATACTAAGGCTGAATCAGAACACACATCTATAGATATAGCATTGTACTGGCTGATACACTGTGTCAACTTGAGCAGTTTAAAAGTTTAATTAAGTGACTCAGCAGGAGCCAGGGCTCTTATTTTGTAAACATCCTCATCCTATGCAAGAGGAGGGCATGGACATGTGTGAGTTCTCCACTCCCAAGCCAGGATGGCCTGCTTATAATGTAAGAAGGTGGGAGAGGCTTGCCAGCTGCTGCAGCCGCGGCTCCTCCTTCTGCTCTTTGCTGTTTTCTGCCACCATGAACGGCTGCCCTCTGCCATGTGCCGCTTTGCTTTGGAGCCAGCCAAGTACGACCTGAAACCTCCACTAACTGTGTGCTAAATAAACTTTCCTTCCTTAATTTTGGGTGTCAGGTATTTTGCCCCAGCAATGAGTGAAAAGTACCTGAGACACGTATTATAAATGTTAAATCCTAATGTTCCTATTTATTTAGAAACAATGGAGATGTTTTAAGATGTCTTTATAAATTTTGAGTAAATTCGAACAATGTAAGCTAACTTCTCTCTGTAGCAAATCAAACAGCCAACTGAGGACCACTTGCCAAGTAACTTCAGATACGAAGGGAGCTCCCGGTCATCCTTAGTCGCAGGTAAGACATAAGCTCCCGTGTCGAGGCTCCTCCCCAGCCCAAACCGTCAAATACAGAAGAAGGCAGAGTAGGCTGCTATGGCCCACTACGGAAAGCCACTGCAGAAAGTGCTATCAACATAAATGTGTGAGGCAAAGAAAATCTTTATTGCCACAGAAAGCAAGTGCACTCATCCCACCTCACCAACAGCTTTGAGAGCCACAAAAATGCAGACTTCACACAATAAAGTATAACAGACTCGGGGAAATGGTCCCTTGGGCTATATTGGCTGGAATACTGAGGTAACCAATTGACCTTGTTTAGTGAAAATACCTCTAACACAATGAAAAACATCAACTAGTTATAGCATCCAATTCATATATACATTTCAAATAAAAATATATATTATTTGCTTTAATGTATAGCAAGTTTAATACATTAGTGTTTACAAAATAAAAACTGTATTCTACTGAAATTTTTCTTGTGCTTCCTCACCACTAAGCTTGAAAGATAGAGAAGTATGATACTTAAGGAAACTTACTTATGACTTAAAGATGCAGTTTGTGGGTCCGTGACAGATGGATAAATAGTAGTTGGAAGTTTATTGCATCTTTAAAAACTGTTTCTTATTAAAATCTACAAACTTGAACTATAAGACACAATTTAAAAAAAAGACCACAAAATTTCTCAAAATAGATTAGAATACAGAAAACGTTTCATGAAACTACTGAGATACTAACCAGTGCTATGGCTAATATTAAAAAACAACATTCTATTTAAATCGTACGCATACTACACTTTACATACAGTGAATGATACAACCACAATAATTAACTTTAAGCTAGCAACAAAGTCGCAAAGTTCACAAGAAACTTCTTCAGTGGGAAAAATGCTATGGTACAATTAAAACGTTCAGCAAGAGAAAAACGCCTTTTAATAGTATAAAAGTTGTTTACTGGTGTTTCTACTGTAAAGCTCTCCTATGTACCAAAATGAAAAAGCAAGTATATATGTGACAGTGATCAGAGACCACAGAGCAGACATTTAACAGTGGGTTGATGAATTTCAATATAACACATTATGACTTAGTATTTATTACCCAGTTATGATCTGAAGCAGAACTAAAGACATACACACACTTATACACTCTTCTTGGCAATAAGTGGTTAGGTAGATCCGTAGGAATTACGTAAACTGTCAAATATCTTTTCTTAAACCAGCAGGAGAAAGGTGTATATTGGCAGATGTTGGATTTGTTTTTGTACCACTATGAATTCAAATGTGAAATTCTCATAATTATGTCAGTATATTAACATCTATCTATATCTTCATATATATATATAGAAAAAATATATATGCACATACTTCACTAATTGACCAGGGGAAATTTAACACATACTGCCAAATTGAATACATTTTATAGAAAAAAAACATTCAAAAACCTGGGAGGTATAAAAAAATGAAATTATAAATAAATATTGAGCTATAGCTGTTAACTGAAGTTCCATGAAACCATGTCTGCCACACGGACAAGGGGAAGTGCACACCTGTGACGTCCTGGCAGCAGATGTCCTGCAGGAGCTACTGTGTCTCTGCGGCTCCTGCACAGGGAGGACTGCTGGATACAGAACACAGAATCTCTTATAGCTTTGTGACGTTACCGTCTTTGTCACATTTAAAGTTAACATACTATGTCTTAATCTATTTAGCACATTCTGAAATACCAACATTAAATCGAGGCATTTGTTTCAAGTTCTCTGTCCAAGTAGTAGCCTTCTCTTTGTTGCACCATAAGCAGCTATAATAGAGTCCAATCTGGGTCAACTAAGTAAGATGTATTTTCTATTCTCTTTTTTATCTTTCCTTCAACATTGTATAAATGTGCACTAATTAAACCAGTGAAAACTACATTACTGAATAAATGCCACCCATTTCCTATTAAACAAAATCAGTTTTATCAAATATTAAACACAAAATATTTTCCTTAGCTTAAACTGAGTATTTTTCTAGTCACTGCAACCTTGCCAATAACAACGTCACTTAAACTTTCTTTTTTGACTGCAAAGATCCTAAACTCTGACGTATAATAATATTTACGCTAAATACACTTAAAGTAGACAACAAAAATTTCAAGTAAAATAAACTGTATCCACATCCACTAGACCAACCAAACAGGTCTGGACATCTAGATTTTAAGTTTATAAATTACACAAATACATCTTACATTCTTAAATAATGAATGCTTACAATATTAACTTGTAAGCCTTTCCACATATAGCGACTTACACAGGAATGTGAATGGGTCAGTATTTGTTACAGGCTGCAGCACTTTCTTGATTTTCTCCTTTGGGGCTGCTATTTTGTCTTCTTGGTTTCCACAGACTAATGAATAAGTCCTTATGCTTTGGCTATGAAATCTGTTTGAGCTGAATGAGGCAACACTGGTTATTAAGGCTTATTTCTACGATGGAGCATTATCCTTAAATCTGATGCCATTTCCAGAGAAGAGTGTAGGAACCCAGCTATCTCGAGTCCTCAGGCTCCGTTTTGATGACTTTCTTTTCCAAAGTGAAAGCTGAGTGAGGGTAGTCTTTTAAAATCCCAAGACTCTCTGCATAAAAAAGAAAACAGATATATGTTGATATTTTAGATCAATGAACTACAAAACTTAAAAAAAACCCAACTATTTAATAATTCTGAAGTTGTATATAAAAATCTGTCTATAGAATTGTGGTTAACACTTGCATTTAAATTTCAACAATGGCAGTTATTAACTATATATCTCTGAGCAAGTCATGTCTTTCCGAAGCCTTAGTGTCCTCCTCTATGAAATGACATTACTACATAAAATATCATGAGAATCAACTGATGAGATGAACACAAAACAATGAACATATATAAAAATACTGTTTTTAGAAAATGCTTAATACAAAATAAAAATATATTGAACTGTTATTGTTTAAAAGAAGAAATGAGACAGGAAAGTATCTTTGATGTTTAAGCATGGAACTATTTTTATATAGACTTTTTTTTTTTTTTTGGTGGAACCGGGGACTGAACACATGCCCACCAGGCAACTGCTTATTCTACTGAGCTATCTCCCCAGTCCCCTTAAGCATGGAACTATTTTTAAAAGTTCCTCTAGCTATGATACACTAAGGGAAAAAACAAAGACTCTACTTTCATAAGAAATCCGTCTACAGAGTTGTAAGTGCTTAGTGATCTCAACCTCATACAAATGTAATCATTATATGAAGCACTACAACATACCAGGAGATACGTATACAGACAGACACACATACACAGAAACATAGATTCCTCCAAAGTAGTTATAAATACTTTACTTGAAATTAAGTAGCTCAGTTTATGAATCCAGTCTCTCAATACAGAAAGGGATTTTAAATTGTACATAATAAAAAAAATAGAAGCTACCACTTACTGAGCTCTTGTCAGTCATAGTTTATATACACTATTCGATTTAACCCTAACTACATACAAACGTAAAAAATTATTAACATCTTACAGATGAAGCAATGAGGGAGGGAGAATTAAGTAACTGTGATTAAATTAAGGTTATTCAATCAAGTATAAGTGCTGAGATCTGGGCCACTGTTTGCACTATATGGAGCCTGAATTGCTCTACTTGACTTTTTTAGAAGTAGTCAAAAGGGGATTGAACTCAGGACCCTGCATTTGCCAGGCAAGCACTTATTCTACTGAGCTATCTCCCTGGCTCAACGAAAGGCTTTTTAAGAGGTATTCTTGGGCCGGGGAGATGGCTCAGTATAATAAGCACTTGCCTGGCAAGCACAAGGGCCTGAGTTCAATCCTCGGTTCCGCCAAAAAAAAAAAAAAAAGAGGTATTCTTTTGTTCTGCTTTTATAAAACCCTATCTAAACTGTATCTTTGTGCCAGGTGTGGTGAAAAATATGGTGAATATTTAAATCTGTTATAGTAAAAGACATATGGCCATTAATTCCCTTCAAAATCCTCCTGCTTGCTTCAAACACACCTATCCCATCCTCCTTGCCACTTTCTGAAGCAATTCTAGAAGTCTTCTTTCATGAGTGCCTTGCATTTCCTGGTCACTTTAGTTTGAGGATGAACTAGAAGTCACACTATGCCACATCCAGTGAAGGCTGTGGGTGAAGACAGATGGTCATGCTTGTACCAGCCTTTTCATTAGGATAGCCCTCTGCAGTGGTGCTTACTGTATTTTTTTTAATCACACTCTGTAAAGTCACTCATGAAAAAGGACTTCCAGGACTGCTTCAGAAACTGGCCAAGTATGTTCAAAGTGAGGGGGAATCTTCTGAACGTGATTAACAGCCATGTGTCTTTTACTATAATTTTTTTTAAGTTTAAAAATATTCACTAGATATTTTGATCATACTTCATAATAGAGGTGCAAATTATGCTCATATGATAAGAAACAAGCAAAGGGGCCGGGGAGATGGCTCAGTGGAATAAGCGCTTCCCTGGCAAGCGCAAGGGCCTGAGTTCAATCCTGGGTTCCACCAAAAAAAAAAAGAAAGAAACAAGCAACATAATTGCAGAATTCTTTTATAAACATCAAAGAAATTTACATTGGTGGAAAGCTTTAGTGTTACTTTTTAAAGAACTTTAAAAAAATATATTACTTTTTCATATTATAAAAAACGAGACAAATACATCATTATTTTAGAGTAATTTTCAATTTCTTAACCTTGACAGTCTTAAATCAGCTAAAAGTAAGTAAGAAATAGCAAGTGAAAGTCATAGCACTAACTGTTTAGAACTTTGGACTTCTCAGCATCTACTAATTGAAGTCTGAACAAAAAACAGAAAAAGACATACTCTTATTAACTCTTTTTCTGGTAAATTATATCACTCACTTTATCACATATAAAGGTTAATTCTAATGTTTTTAATAGTTTATCTGTTCTTGGGCTTCCTCATCTATAAAATTACTGACACTAAGTAACTCCTAAGTTAACTTCAATATGAGCCTAATTTTTTCTTTTGAACGGTGCTGATCTAATGTTTTGCTTAACTCAATTTGAAAAAAATACATAAATACCCAATTAGAAACTGCGTCTCTTTTTATGAAACTTACTTCTAGAATATGACTATGACCCCTGCCAAAACACATCTGCATCAAAAGTTTAGACTTTGTTACACAAGATGTTCTTAGTATAAGAGCAAATATAAAGTCCACCAATTTTATATTAGGTTACTACCAGGAAAGGGCACACCAGCCTAGTGCAAAGCAGCCACTCAGCATTCAGTTTGAAAGTCACCATTCAAGTAATAGCAAATGAAAATAAACTCAAACTTCTGAGTTTTCCCTATCACTCCCTGGCACACTTTGTTATAAAAAAGACTGGCCAATGTTAAGGCAATCTGTAATTCGCAAGGGGGGAGGAGGAGCTGGCTAGTGACACTGTTCTGATGATAGGTGGGGCCTGGGAGCAAAAAGGGACAGCAGTAGTAGGAGAAAAGAACTGAAAGATGCTTTCTTCAAATTTCACTCTGCTCATACACACAGTCTCACCTGATGAGTGAGACTTGGCCTCACCAGAGTAAAGTCTACTCAGCTCCCCATCCACCATAAAATGATGAGGCTGCCTGTTTGGTAAATTAGGTATTCGGAGATTCAAAGGTCTTTCTCCTGGTGAAAAAGAAAAAAATACGTATGAATAATACTAAAAACACACTAGAACTTCTCTTTAGAATGTTTTCACAAATTGCCTGAACATTTCTTTGGGGGAAAAAAAAAATGAAGTCAACAGGCACTGAAGAATTTAAGTAACAGTGAGAACAAACCCTTTTAAAATAATAATTTAGGAGGAAAATGGCAAGTCATTTTACAATACTTCCAAGATACCTAATTCTACTTGGACATTTTTACAGTTAAAAATAAACTAAACAAAAGAGAATTCTAATAAGCATTCCAACTTCAAGGTACGGTACATTTTCTCTCCAGGCATTTTCTTACTAGGACAACTATTTCACCAAGGCATGTATGTCATTAACGGTACAGTAACAAATACTAGGCAGAGAGAGATAGCTTCAAGCCAATTACAGATTAAAAAAAAAAAAAAAAAAAACTTAAACCAAAACCTATAAAAAAAAAAGCGCAGATACAGTAACAATGCCTTGTACACAAAATCATCTTACCTGTCACGTACCCAAATCTATCAAATGAGCAAGCTGCTACCCCACACTAAGTTATCCTGAAGTCCAGAGTCAACAAAACTATCATAATTGCCTTCACTTCTCAACTGTAAAAGGTGACTGGAGAAGTTAAACAAGACCTCAACCAAAAAGCTCCCATACTATTTTAAAAAGGAACAATCTTCTCCTCCTCCAGTCCTCTGGTGTGCTGACAAGGTTAGTGCTACACTCTGTGCTGGAGAACCCTTGCTATGATGGTATTCTGGCTTAGAAGGAAGCCTTCCTGACAACAGTAGCCATTCTGTATCAACACACGGGAATTATATAAAAAGACAGGGTGAACTTCCTGTTTTTGCCACATACTGAGTCACCGTCTGAGGCTGGAGGCCACAGGCACACCCCTGCCGCTGCCCACCCCTGCCGCTGCCCACCCTTGCGAGTGCGTGAGCTCTGCTGGGCAGGCGTGCGTCACTCCCTGCTGCGCCCGCAGGGCCAGTGAGCACCTGCACCCAGAGACACTCCTGAACCATCACATGTGCTGGACAAGGGGGAAGGAGGATTTCACATTTTCTTTATGTGAAGACATGAGAAAAGTAATTTTCCAAATAGTGAAAATAGTCATAAAATAACACAGCTTTCTGAACCTGAGTTTGGAAGCTTTGTCATAATTAGGAGCAAGTATAATATTCTCTACAGAAATGACAATTACAAATTTCAGATATTTTTTTTTCAGATATGACTTTTTAAAAATGTACTTAGTACAAGGTCTACAGGGTCTATAAGGTCTACAGGGTCTCACTAGATAAGGTTATTTTTGAAGTTTATAAGAAATATGAAGGTTTGATCTCTTTAAAATGACCAGGGAGGGTGAGGGATACAGCTCAGCAGCACCCTGTTTGCCTGACGAGTGCAAGGTCCTGAGTTCAATTCCAAGTACTGCCCCCACCATAAAAAAAGGACCAGGACTGGAGGTATAGCTTAGTGGCTAAAACACCTACCTCTCCTATGTTTAGACCCTGGGTTCAATCTACACACACACACACAGAATGACCTGTCCGACTCACACTGTACCACCATTCCAGCTCATGTGCCAACTACTGTATAGGAATAGGAATAATAACATTATAAGGTTTACATATTAGAATTTTCAGGATGTATTCTTTCCTTTTCTTAAGAAAGGAAGCAATTTAAAATTAATTTTCAGAGAACTTAAAATGTCTACAAAAGATCAAGATTTAAAAGTTAGCAATCCTTTCCATTTCTCTCTGGAAGGCGCCGAGGGGCACAGGCCTGCAAGCTACCTGGGCCTTCGGAGCTCTCCGCAGGCAGCCCGTTGGGGCTGTGCTCCTCGGAGCCCTGCCGGTACAGCCCGGCAGACAGCCTCCTCTCTGCGTGCTGCAGTCTCTCGTAGCCAGCTTGCGCGCACAGGAACTCCATCTGCTTTGCCATCACCTTTTCAGGCTGGTAAGTAAAGCAAAAATAAAATCAGTAACTATAAAACATTCTACATTTTAAATGGTTTAAAGATGCCAATTTCAGACTCTAGTAAATATATTTAGTATTCATTAAAATTAGTTCACATTTCATGTGGTATATCTGGTTCTATAAATATGAATAAAGGTCTGTATCATGTTAAAACAGAAAATGCTGGATTCTGTACAAAAGAAAAAGGTTTCTTCTCAATACGATGAAGCATATTCCATCCCAGCTCAAAGGCAATGGAACCTTAGCTGTGTTTGCCAAGGTATCGTGAGCTTTAAAGGATTTTAAAAAGGAACCTAAGAGAAACAGCAACATCTGCTATGAACTGTTTCTAACACACGGGTGAAATCTTGGCATTTTTATTTTAGAATTTGGCACCACACAGGCTCTGATAGGATGACAGTATGTTTGGGAAGGAATAAGGTGTAAAATAGTTGTCTAGAAGAAGAAGACAAACACATCTCCTACTAAAATTAAACAATACAAATTATGCAGAAAAACATCAATGCCAAAGGGGATCTTTGTCTGCATTGCAGAACGAAACCGTGGTATTTTCCAACCAATCAGAAAGGGCATATTTTAAAATAAGTAGTGAGGTGACATATAAATAAAGGTCTATGCACTACTCTAAATTACTGGTCTGTAATATTCAAAGCAGTGTACCCATGGTATTTTGCCAGGAGATAATAGTTAAAATGCAAAGATATGATCACTGCTGTTACGTAAGAGTGGTGCATAAAAGCTGCTACATGAAATTGGTACAAGACGTCATGAATCACAATATTACAAACCAACAGGTAATGTCTTAACTCACTGAATACATAAGATAAATGCTCGTGCTATTTTTCTAGATATACATAAACCAAATCAAAAGTAACCCTAAATTTACTTCATTTGAACTTGTAACTAGTTAACTGATAACATTTCAGTTAAGCACTTCTGGGGGGGAAAAGTAGTTTTCATAAACTTTGCAGTACTAAATTTGAATAAAACTTCCGATTTGATTTGAAACTGTCTCAGTGCTGTTTATCAATAAAACTTTGAAAAAAAATAAAAAATAAAAATAAATAAATTTGAATAAAAGCAAGTCACTAGGAAGAATCAATAGAAATGAAACTTTCAGTGCTTTCCAAAAGAAAATGTTTGCAGAAAGGACTTTTTAAATGTTTCAGTGTTCATACACAGATAATTTAATGGCAAAGTACTTGAAAGTACATATCAACAATTTTTCAGTACATATAAATTTAAATAAATGAATACGTACAGTGTATTCGTATTTTATTGAGAACCAGTATATCTGACCTCCGAGTTCTATTATTATGCACAGGCACAGCCAACATGGCTGCTCTCCTGATAGTACTGCTCCTTCCTGTCTGCCAAACTATAAAGAACAAATAAGGACCACCGATCAGATTCCATTCATGAACCAAACCAAACCAACTCGTTCATGCTACCACGCTGACTCAGCTGTGGGTCACAGGACATTTTTAAAACAACCAGAAATAAATACAGTTCTCAAAATTCTAAACCTGAAACTGGGTGAAGCAGTTACTTACGTTTTAACTTACAGATTGTATAAGGTAATAGCTGCTAGCTTGTTACCTGTGAACTAAGAGCTGCGAGTTCTTCACTCTTCGCTCTTGCCTGCTGGAAGAGTGTTTGCATGGAATCCTGGAAGTCTGGAAAGCCATCCTGGGAGTCAAAGAATGAGTTCTTAATATTTAGTTTGCAAAAGAGAGAATACCTGTGTTCATAAAACTCAGAAAATAAGTAAGAAAACCACCTTTATCCCACTATTTAAATAATCACAGGTAAGATTTTAATATATAAAATTTCCTTTCAATCTCTTGTGGTACAAATATTTTATGTTCTACACTAACTTCTGTAAAAACATAAATAAAAATAATGAAAAATACAATCTTCCTCATGTTTTATAGTGGAAAGCAACTTGATCACTGTCAGTGGTTACACAATATTTCAGCTAACCACACTAGCCCATGGGCTTTTACAACAAGCTGTATCTATAGCCCTTTCTTTATTTTAGAGGCAGGCTCTCACCGAGTTAACTTGCTCAGGCTTGGCTCAAACTTGTGATCTCTCTGCAGCCACCCTCCAGAGTGCTGGAGTCACAGGCATGGGTCACCAGAGGCAATTCTGCATTTTACATGTATTCTCTCATTCCTCCTCTTCAGAAACAACTCTTAGTTTCCACTCTTTCTGTCATTTCGCAACTACAGACAGTGGCTTCCAAGCCCATGCTCAATGTACAGGACTACAGTAACTACTTCATGAAACAGGCATTTTTCGTAGAGTCTGTCTTTCATAAGAACTGGCTTCAACACTATTACTTACACTTAATTTGAAACCCAATTCTACTACTTTTACCTGTTTTCTGTAAAAGGGGCACAACTGTACACAGGTAACTTACAGAATCAGTTTAGGAATGTAAAAGCATCATATCATAAAAAATACTTAGCATAGTTTTTAGCATGCAGAAATTACCCAATAAATGTTACTAATACTGAATATCTGAATCCAAATCTACCAGATTTAATCAAGCATAAAGCAGGAAGTGATAAGCAGCTTATCAGACAAAGGAAAAGGATAAATTTCAGGGATACTTACATAGTATGAATATTCAGACAGAGTAGGAACTAGATACTCAGATACTCTTTTTTTTTTTTTTTGCGGAACTGGGGATTGAACTCAGGCCCTTGCGCTTGTCAGGGAAGCGCTTATTGCACTGAGCCATCTCCCCGGCCCCAGATACTGAACATTAAATAAATCAAAAGAATAATGAGTATATTAGTGGGAAACTGTCTTAGTGAAAAGCACATCGGAAATCTGGAAATGTGTTTATTCATTCAACAAAAATGTCACCTAACTGCTTCACACACTTATCCACATGGTGATGAAAGGGAAACAAACGACACGCCTTCTGTGGTCACGGTAAATGCAGACCAGCGAGGGCAACAGACAAGGCACCCAGGACACAGCAAAGCCTAGTGGGCAGGAAGTCCTGGGAGGTGGAGAAATACTGTTTCCTTACACAAAGGAGGCTGACAGAAGGGCCTGGAGCAAAAAGAACAGGCTCCATTCCCCAGGCTACAAAACAATAGATATTAAATAGGGAATACTATGGACTTCCAAAGAGGAAATGAGTAGAAAAATTCAAAACACAAGCCCAGGCTTTGTGAGATCTCAGACTATATGAAGGATTTTAGGTTTTATCTTACATTCAAATGGAGCTATAAAGGTCTCAGAAAAGACACAGACCAGATCTGTATTCCAGAAAGGCCAATCTGAACATGATGGGGGTATATGGTGGCAACAAAGAGATAGGTTAAAGAGCTGTGGTAAAGGAGAATGGTGGATCTGTCCTCGACAGATACAGACGTAACAGAGAAATGAAAAGAACTCCCAAGCCTGGGCACCCAGGAATTTCGGGGGGGACACCTGCTATAATATGGAAGTATGAGCCAGTGTTGGGGAGGGGCCCAAACACTGACGACCTTGCTCCTGGACATGTTGAGCACACAGGCCGGTGAGACTCTGGGTACCAGGTCAGGTAAGAGGGTACCTGAGTTTGGAGCTAGGTGTAAAGTCAGGGCTGGAGGCCCAGACTAGAGTTACTGGCTCATCGGGGAGCTCTGAATGGACAAGTTCAGTGAGAACCCAAGCGCGTCTCAACTTCTCAGTACTGTTGTGAAGGAGTTTGTTAGTCTGCTTATGTTAGGAACCAGTTCTATGGTCTTGGGAAAGAAAGTTAACCTCATTATTTCCAGTGTTCCCAATTTTTAAATGGGGATTATACTACATTTCATCTGCCTAGAAGAGATTTGTGGGCTTAAAAGGAAAGCAATACAAATGGTAAATCATGTCATAGAAATATCTGGTGTCACCACCAATAGGATTATTCACCCATGGAAACACTGCATGGTGAGAACTTCCAACTCTGTGTGTCAAAATTTATTCTGGATTATTAATTAGGATAAATTAGAGCTTACAATAAGTAATAAACAATGATAACCAAGAAATTTGGTTTCTTTCCGCAACTGAGTACAGCAGTCATCTTTATTTTTCTCCCCGTCTCCATAGCTCACTGAGGATGGGAAAACTAAGATCAAGTATGATAGGGTCTCGCCCTAATATGAATTACTAAAATCATTATGGTGGTCACCTAATATGGCCAATGCCCTTAAAACAAAGCCCATCTTCCCAAGACCACCTCCCCCTTCTGCAACGTAGCCAAGACTTCCACCCTTCCCACCACCTCAGGGAAGACCCCCAGTCGGCTCCCTCCTCCAAACCCACCCTTGGCAGAAAGCCATAAAAGCCTCAGCGTCCCTTGGCTCCAATGGAGAGAGGGAAAATTCCTCTTCCCCACATTCTCTCCTGCATCCACAAAGATAATAAAGCCCTTTCCCTTTTTCCTTCTGCCTGTTTCTCTGCTGCACTGTTCACCTGAAAACACCTATCAAAGTAGCTATCACCCCGTGAGACACAAAACAGGTATAAGCTATCCAAAATAAAAAAAAAGTGAGAACATTCCCAGAAACTGGTTTCTTTCACATTCAGTCTGATGCAGGACTTCTGCTATGCGTCTCTTAAGCTCTGTCTGTTAACACCAGCAATACCAGGCTATGAGCAATTTATCTCTGTGCCATATTCTTGGCTGTGGCCATTAATCACAGTGTTCCCTTGCTGACGAGACTCTGGGTTTGCACACTACGAAAACGAAAGCTGTGGGGCGGGATACTGATCGTGACCTCATTGTTCTCATCCACTGATCTCCTCCCCCACTCCCCGCATCTTTTTTGCTAAACACCAGCAAGCTGCTTTAAAGGCACTGTTTAGCTGTCTTTAAATGACTTGTTGTAGCAGATGTTCTCAACCCCACCTGTGCATTTTCCTTTTTTCTACTCCCACTTTCTATATGAATAGTAGAGTGTAACGCTTCTGTTTTTCTGAGCCAGAAGGGACCAGTCCACATCAGATTAGCCCAGGTTTCTCTTCAACAAGCTCAGCAACAGCGTAGGTGGATACTCTGACCCTCTTTCCTCCCTCTTGCTCAAACCATACTCCCACCCCACTGGAACTGCTAGCAGATGTTTCCTCTATGTCTTTCTTCACACTCTAGTCCCCCGGCTTTCTGAGCTCTATTACATTTCTCCTCTGTCACCCAGTTGTCTCTACCTGCTTTGCAGCCCCAACCTCACAGGATAAGAAAGCTGTCATCTACCTCTGCCTCACTGCCAGCAAATTCAGAGTGAAAGAAACTTACACACGAGTCACAAGCAGCAACAGATGTTCCTTGTAACACTGGAGGTTATAATAGGGTTTAAGCCAATGGAATCTACTTTTCATTAATGTCTTTTGGCTCTTTGTTTTTCATCTCCTTGAAAGAGCTGTCAAACCCTCTTAAATATATCCTGTCACAGACAGGTATAAATACATCACACTAATTTTTCTTAATTTATTCTACCTTCCCAGAACTCTATTTTTACTCATTATAAACAATTAGCATATTACTAATAATATAACATATAAATACACTTTGCAATTCACACTTAAATTCTCTACTCAAAACTTACAGGTGTTTACTAGCTTCTTTGGATTGGAAAATAGCTGCCACTCTTACCCTTCCTCAAGACCACAGTCCTGGGCATCCTTTGCCCTTTGTGCCCCACGCAGAGGAAGAAAGGTACAGCACCAACAGTGTTTTCTTCACAACTAAGGTTGTTGGTGAATACTCATCAGCGGCCAGAAGGGTGGTACTGGTCTGAAGTTTAGAAGTGACTCACACACTGGAAATCCTGGCCTGGGACTGGACAGCAATGTGGCAACTTCAACAAGTTACTGGGCCTTTCTGTCTACCTTGGCTATAAAATGTAAATCATAATGCTTCTAAATATTGTAGAACCAGGTCTGTGATAATGAACTCAAAATGCCTAGAAGTGACTGCTAGGTTTTTCAGAGGCACACTAAAAAGACAGGAAAGATAAAAGAAGCCTTTATTAACTTCAAAGACAGAGAGGATCAAGGGCAGATGGGTCAGGTAGATCCTCTGGCCTGAGACAAAGAAAGCTGGGGTTTTTATGGTCTTTTGTTAGCAGTGGAGTTTGAGGGGGATATTTAGAATTATCTAAGGGGCTGATTGGAGTCTTCCCGGAGGTGTGGAAAAAGTAAAAGGAAACCGCACCCTGGGCTGAGTCGGAGAAGAAGGGGGAGGTGGTCTCTGGGAAGATAAGCTGTTGTTTTAAGGGCTTCAGCCATATTAGATGACCATCATAATAATTCAGCAATTCATAATAGGGCCACAACCTACCAGTGATAGGCACATAACAGTCAATAAAGTCATTGCTGCACAGCTAAAAGATTTGGAGACCTTGATTAGGAAAGAAGGCTCTCCCTGAAAGCTGGACTCAAACTCTTCATGTGATCGGGCAGAACTGTTCCCAGGTCTTAACTAACATACAGAGTTAAAGGTGTTTCCACTAGAAGTTCTCTCCAGCTGGGGGTTTCCCTAAGGCCTACCCAAGCTAGCAGGCTTTTCTTTGTCTGCGGCTATCATGTACTGTAGGAATTAATGGAATGAATTTCAAAATCTCTGATTTTATGTCTAATATACCCTGTAAGAATGACCATTACTTAAGGACAACAGATTCTTTTGAGAACGTCTATGCAATGTTTACTAATATTTAAAAAACAATGAGTAGCAGCGTAACTATCTTTTTGCCAGAACCACTTGCATGCATATTGCTTTCCAGGGAGAAAAATCAGACAAGTATTTTAAAACTTTATTCCATCCAACTCTTCATGTATAGATCAGGGAAATACAGTATTGAGCATGGAGAAAAGAGCTTACTGAGCTTGAACAAAGTACACTTTTATTAGTATACTCTATTGTACTGATAATGTCAAATAAGAGGATATTCCTCTTTCCTTACATGTCAAATTATCTTGATATGCTTTCTGTCCTACCTACCAGGCATCATACTATGTAACTTGGCAAGGATGTTCACTGGCTGCTGTAACAGACTTTTAAAAAAATAAAGATGAAAGGAAAGAGGAAGAAATCATCTCACTAACTTGAGCCTAGTAACTAAGAGTGAGTTACAAGTTTACATCTTTCCTTAAAGAATAATATGTTAAGAATCATAAAGAAATATTAAATGAAGAGTTAAAGATGCATGTTCAGAAACCTCTAAAATCTTCCCAGCTCTGCCTGTGAAGCCTGCTGTGTAGTCACATCTGTAGACAAATGACTCTGCTTACTGCTCTCCAGTCACGTTCAGCATTCTTGCCTGCCTTTGCCCATACTACTCCACATTTGTAACCCCACCCTAATGCCCACTCCGCATCCCTACCTTTTGAAATTCTGCTCGCCTTTAAAATCCTACCTCAAATGATGCTCTGCCTAGTACAAGCCCCCACCCAAAAGTCTCCCTTCGTCCAGTGGCCACACAGGGGGCAGACATAAACAAAGCGCTAATATGTGGAGTCTTAACACCTTCCAATTAGGCTGTAATTCCAGGGCCTCCATGCCAGGAGGACCTGAACCACCAGTGGTACATACCTGACTGTCCCATCAGGTGGCATGGGACGACAGTCTCACTGGGAGGTATGGGTGGTGCAAACCACCCGAAGGGACACATGCAGGTACCATTAGTGGGTCAACCTGGCAGGAATGTGTTAAAGGAATAAAATCCCTTTAGAGCCAATAATAGTTACCTCAGTGTCAGCTTTCAGAACCAAAAGAACAGCTCTAGTATCTAAAATTTTACTTAAGTACACCCTAACAGAATTTAGGGTAAGGACTAGCCAAATAGCTCAGCTGATTAAAGCGCCTACAAGCAGGCACTTGGGCCGGCCCTGCCCTCAGAGTATGCTGAGATGACAATTGAGACTGGGCATGGTGGCACGTGCCTTTAATCCCAGCACTTGGTAGGCTATAAACAGGAGAATCCCTAAGAGTCTGATCAAGTACTGAGACCCTGAATACCCTGTAGACCCTTTCCTAAAATACAAAAACAAAACAAAACAAAACAAATTTAGACTAGGATTTATACAAAGACTATTTTTCAAAAAGTTAAACTACATACCTATACACATATACATTGAAGAGATATTCATGTCTTGCAATACGTAAGTACTTTACTAAGAACTAAGCAAAAACAAAATTTAAAACCAACATTAAAAAGTAAATCACTATTTTAAATTCAAAGCTAATATTTCTATATGGTGAAACAAAAATCAAGAGTTTGTTGTCTACAAAGCTACAGTGATGCTGTGGCAGTTGTTAAGTACTTCTAGGAGGCTCAAAATGTTCAAAAAATGCTAAGTACTGTACCAAACAAATGGTTTTGGCTAGAAAGGGCAGTGAGTCTCCAAACTGAGAAGTTCTCACTTGTCCGTCAAGCCCTAAGAAATGATAAATATCACAACAAAGATTTCACAGCAAAATGCATCAAGTGGGCCGGGAGATGGCTCAGGGGAATAAGCGCTCCGCCAGCAAGCGCAAGGGCCTAAGTTCAATCCCTGGTTCTGCCAAAAAATAAAAAAATAATGCATCAAGGGCCAAATTCAACGAGCTTTAAGCAGTGGAGTACTGAGACACTACTACTGTTAAAGAAGTGTGAGGCTGATGAGACACTTGTTTTACTTAGACAAGTTTAGAAGAAAAAGAAACACTGATTATTTTAATTTTGGATCCACAGCTGTTCAAGTGGCTTTGAGAACTCGGAAAAGCAATGATTACACAGAACTGAACGGTCTGGAGTAGAAGATAAGACTCACTTCTACTGTTATATAATTCATGATCTATAACTCGTATCTAATGTTATAACTCAATACTCTAGGCCTGTAATAAGAAACTAAAAATGCTATAATGGTTTCAAGAAACAATCTTCTTAAAGTTCAGATCAGAGCTATGAGAGGGTCAAAAAGGCAATACAGCCAAATATGAAACAATGACAGTTTTCAAACTATCCCTGACAACAATCTCCATGTTTCATCAGGACAAAAAGGGAGAGTGCAACTTAAATGAGAGGAACCTGACATGATCTTACCGAGGGCCACTAGTGAAAAACAGATGTGGATTGCTGGCTAGCAGCTCATGGGTTCCTCCAGGCCACTGGGTACAAGTTGTAATTTGTTTCCTTTAACTCCTCTGATGTCTTGGGCCACAACAATTCCATGTTCAGCTGCTTTCCCCTTGAGCAGCAGCAAGCTATGAACAGCTAAATTCTCATATTCTTCTCTTACCCAGCATTGGATAATAAGATAAAACTCTTGCTAGTTAGGCCATGCCCCTGGGCATGCTGAGCCAGAGACTAGGCGTGGCGGTGCACACCTCTAATCCCAGCACTGGGGAGGGTGAAAACAGGAGGATCACTATGAACCTGAGTTGTGTAGTGAGACCCTTACCAAATATATAAAAGAAAAAAAAATCACTGTTCTCAGAGAATGCAAAAAGAGTTCAAAAGTGAGAACTGTGGCTTTAGTTTGAGGAAATGATTATCACATACAAACATGTACACAGTAACCACGATATAGTGATGGACATTTAGGGTAGTTAATCATGACTTATTTGCTGTGACTTAATTATGTAATGAGGAGGCTGAGTACCAACCCTCATGCACTGCCAAGGGAGAAAGGAGCCACCTGACTTCAAATTTCCACCTTGCCTCAGACATCTTTTAAAATTTTATTTATTTAGGTTGTTCCAGGGATCGAACTCAGGACCTTGTGCTGCACTTAGTCCACTGAGTTATCTTCCCAGCCCTCAGACTGGACATTTCAAGAGTGTTCAAAAGAGACAGCAGGTCTGAAACTATCGCAGTGCTGAGAGCCCTGAGCAATGTAGCCTTCTTCCTCAACTCCTACCTTACCACTTGTAAACCTAAAATCTGAGCAGTCTCAACCATGGTCCCCAAAGAGACCTTAGTTACAGTAAAGTTTCCCTGATCTATAGTGACTAAACTGTCATTTCCCTCAGACAGCTAAAAAAAGTTAAAGTTCTTGTGAGTGTTTCTGATGACAGGACTAATGAGATGCTAAAAGGAACTGTTTAACCAATAAAGAGTCTTAAATCTGTTTAAAAAAAAAACCCAATAAAACAACACTAATTTGCAAATCAAACTGTGATAAACTGTTAGTAACTTAGTTTTCTAGTACAAATTTCCATTGATCAGTCTGATTAATATAATTCTACAGCACTGCTTTTAAAATTATGAAAATTTTTTACTAGTTTATGAGACCAACTTTTTTATCTACATTACCAAGATTTTATTATTAAAGATCTTAAAATAGAAACAAACAAGACTATTGTAAAAAAATATTACTTATAATTGTACCTCCACTTTAATTCTCTTTGGGGATAATTCATCTCTTTCACCACATTTTGACCTAAGAGAAAGAAAACAGAAAAACTTGAGAAGGTAGCAGCCACTAACCTAAGAACTCCCCATACAGAAATCATTCAATAAATATTTCATGATTATCATTAAAACAGAAAAGGAAGACATCAAGGGAGATATCCCTTCATGGTTCAGTAGAAACAACTGAAGATAAAATAACAAAACTGACCATTAAGATGAACACAAGATTTACATACATGAAATTAAAAAAGCATTTTGTCTACATGCTTGGCTCCATAGTTCTGGGCTTAGAGCCCTGATCTTGTTTAAAAAAAAAAAAAAAAAAGCATTTTATCTATGTATCTATAGATGTACTTACCTTTAACTAAGAAATCTCTGAGCTAGAAATCAATTCCAGAGGAACTAACACATACACTGAATGACACTCCATCAATTCTACAACACACAAGTACATCATATGTCAACTGAACTATGGTAAGTCCTGAACTGTCATTTATACCTCAGCATAAAAGATGCTAGAGAGACCGGGGAGACAGCTCAGAGACATAAGCATCTGCCTGGCAAGTGCAAGGTCCTGAGTTTGATCCCTAATACTGGGGGCAGGGACATGCTAGAATGTGGACAAGAACATGTTAGAATCAACAAAATGTTATGTACCATATTTATCGTGGCATTATTTTCAATAACAAAAGACTAAAAATAAGTCTATATCCATCAACTGGGCCACTGTATATACATTAATATAAAGATTGCCAAGATTTACTAAGTAAAAGAAAGGCAAAATAAAGCATAGCTAAGCTATAAGCTTTTATTTTTTAAAAGGGTGAAAATGAGAATATATATTTTATTGTTTACATGTATATAACAAAAACTGAAAGGGTAAAAAACAAAAACTTACAAGAAATACCTATGCTGGGACAAATGGGGAAAAGAGGCAGGAGTGTAAACACAAGGTTTTAATTTGCCCCTGACACAGCTCCAAAGGTGGGTGCCTCTGAGGCCTGGAACTGAGAAGTGGGAAGGTGAGAGCCCAGGAGCTGCAGTTTCACTGCAATCCCTGAGTATTTCTTAAATTATACACATGCATATTTGATTAAAGAAAATCATCTAAATGAAGTACTCAGAAAATTTATTATACAGTAAGAAAAAAAATGAGCTGAACCAGCTCTTGATTACCCGATTCCAGAAAAAAAAAAAAAAATGTAGAAACAATCTCATGTTGCTGCATACTCTTACCCCATTCTGACTTCTGCTTATTGTGTGTTTGTAAATGTGAAGTTGCTGAGACAGCCCAGAAAATGAAGCTGCTATGAGTTAAGGGAAAACAATAGCAAGTGATAGCAAACATCTAATTTTAACCCTGAGTAGGTGCAAGGCTCTTCTGGGATACCTGCGAAAACTTCTAGGTTCTATCCTCTGCAAACTGTTCTTTATTAGGCCCAGCAAGAGTGCTCATGGTGTAACTTTTCGACAAACAGTGTTGCTCCTGTTGAAGTGGCCACTTATGCTTACTCACAGAAACAGGGGCATAGACAAAAGAGACTGCGCTGGAAATACGGCTCCCTGCACAAGCGTGTGCATAGAACGAAAACGATGCAGTACCTATAGAGTATGCCCAGGGCCGAAGGGTGGAGGGAGGCGACGAACAGCACTGTGTGTGTAGATTCTGAAGCCACCATTCTTTTCAATATGACATTTTTAATATTTCAAACTCACATTCCATGTTCTATTTTCTAGTAGTAAAAATATTTCCAACTTTCCCTTAAAATGCTGGTCACTCTTTCAGCTACTCTCAGATTAAAAACACCTTGAAAAAGTAACTACTTCATTTCTTCAGTTCAACAAGTTCATACAGCTAGTGGGCTTACAAATCCTGTGTCTATAAAGGCTGTCTAAATCCCATCATGCACTCCAAACCAAAGTGTGTGTGTGAGAAAAGTATCTATTTACACTAACACAAGAGCAATGGCATAGTACTAAGAAAACCATGTCTTTCCAAAAGAAAGGAAGGTAAGAGAACAAGGACCACTGCTTTGTTAAGAGGTCCTAGTGTGCTACTGCAGAGCAGAGTAACTGGAGATAACTGCTACGTAGTGTGTACTACAAACCCAGCAAAGGGTTTTGATTTTCTTACCACAAATAAATAGTAAATATTTTAGGAGATAGATATGTTTAACCTGGTTGAGATATTATACAATGCATACATGCACTACAATACCACCTTCTCCATCCAATTACTAAGTACAATTTTTATTTGGCTGTTTTAAAAATTATTGTAAAAATCACTCTTAACAATCATGCTTTTAAAAGTCTAGTGCTACACTGTTACAGAATTATAATCACATATTTACCTTTTCAGATAAATGCATATTTACCTATCACTTGACCTTAGCCAAAAGGCCAAGAAGCAATTCGTATTTATCTATCAATGTAGGATATTTCAAACTTGCCTTCTATCAAGCAATGTAAACATACTGCTGTCCAGTTAACACTTACTTGGTGGTTCTGTAAGTATATTTATAGGTGACTTCTCGAGAAATCTGCCTAGCCAATGCAAAAAGTTCATCTCTTCGTGTCAGTAGGGCATTATCCTTCACACAGAGCTGAGCAGCTGCTTCATTAACAGTGAGCTGGATATTCAAAATAAAGTTAAAAGTCTGTAAGTATTTCTATATTTTCTCAATACATAAATGTTTCATTTAATATAAATAAAATCATAATTCATAAAAATCAGGATGGTCTTATCTCTAAAGCAAAATTTTAGAATAAAATTAATCATTTACCGTTCTGCAAGGCCTAAACTATTCAAAATAGTCATCTTGGTTTTATTTATTGTATTTTTGGTTAGCTAGTAGAGTTTATGGCCAATAAATACAAAAAGTAACAAGCATTCTGAATCTCATTTTTCTCATGAAAAACCAAAGGATTAGAACATATATGATGTTTTTCTCTATTTTCCCAAATTGAAAATTAATACACAGTCTGACAGCATTTTTAAAAATGTTAACTGACATAAAAATTCTTGGAAAGAAATCAAAATTAAGTAATTTTAGTTAAGTACCAAATCACTTGTTAATAAGGAAGTTATCACACACTAGGGCTATCCTACAAAATCAAGAGTGACTCACCTTTTAAGATTTATCTGATTCTACCTTCTCAAGATTCTGTAACTGTTAAATATTGTCAGTAACCTTGTACTAAAACAAATTTCATCCTCAACTTGGAATCTCTTTATTGTCTAATCTACAACATGTTTTTCTCTATTTTGTCAATTTAAATATCTACCAGGAACCACCAGCAGGTCTATTAAGACTTTAAAAAGGCAACCACTTACTCAGTCAAGAGGATCAAGGCCGAAAGGAAGCAGCCTGAGGGCAGGCAGGCTGAAGCAGCCCCCACTGCTATCTGTGCCTGTGGGCCAGCAGAGCCCAGCCTCAGATGCAAAGGGGCAAACGGATGACAGCAGAGTCTTAAAAAAGGGCTCCAACCAAGCCAGCAGCAATTCCTACCACAAAGTTATACTGGTTCTTGTTTTTCTTTGTTTTATTTTAATTTATGTTATTATTATTATTATTATTTTTTATTTATTTATTTTTTTTTTTTTGGTGGAACCAGGGATTGAACTCAGGCCCTTGGACTTGCCAGGCAAGTTCTTAGTCTATTGAGTTATCTCCCTGGCCTGCCCTTCCTTCCTTCCTTCCTTCCTTTCTTTCTTTCTTTCTTTCTTTCTTTCTTTCTTTCTTTCTTGTCTTTTAAAAAATCCATTATTAATTTTTTTCTCTAGTCAGGCAACCCATCTTTATTGATAAATTTTTATAAAAATTTTGAAAACATAGAGGTAAATGAGAAATACAAAGTACATAATCCAGACAGACTAATCACTACTACTATAATACAGAACGTTGAGACTTGCTTTGTTGGTCTCAGTATCTAGAATAGGCTGTAAGTTTAGTAAATGGCTATTGACTGATTAATGAGTTTATAGTTCTATAATACCATTTTCCCTATATATACAACATTCTATTATAGGGAAAAAAATCATATATTATTTAAACCAAACTCATAGTAAACTACCTCTAGTTGTTCATGTAGGTCACAAAATGTACTAAGTTTTATAAAATGTGTATGTTCAACCGAATTACCTTACCCACATAAGTATTTAATCTACCTATAATATGTTATAGCATTTGGTATGACACATATATATGTAGCTTCTTTCCAACTGTAATTATGCTAGTTTGTTCTGAGACAATTAATTTAGCTGACAGCAAGTTTATAATAAGCCCAAGATTATTTTAAATTTGAAGCTAAATATTAAAATGTAATAGCACTGTGGGAGGATAACACAAGTAGATCACAAGTCTGAGCCAAGCCCAGGAAACTCAATAAGATACCACCTCTAAAAAACAATTTAAAGAAAGTAGAATCTGGGTATACCGTTCAGTGCAAAGGCCCTGGATCTGTACCTCTCCCCAATTAAAACCTGAAACTGAAGGAGGAATTTATTTTCTACCTTCTCCTCTCCTCCTGAAGAATCATCAAAGATCAATTCCTTTCCAAAGTGCTTTTGAAAGGCACAATGCTACTGGAGCTAAAATGAAATATATTTTAAAGGGGCTGGTGAGATGGCTCAGTGGTCTAAAGCACCTACTTAGAACAAGCTTAGCAAAGCACAGGCACCGCAGTTCAATCCCCCAGCACCACATGCCAGCCAGCCCCCGCCCCCTGGTGGGCTGAACTGTCCACACACACACACACACACAAATAAATAAATAAATAAATAAATAACATTTAAAAATATTTTAAAGAGTGTATGCCAATTGAAAAGACATTAGAAATAGTACACATTTAGAAGTCCAGGATGAGAGCTATACAACCATGGGTTTTGTATTACACATTGCTATCCTTGATGTAGTTGCTCAGATCATAGATACCAGCATACAAAGTCAGTCAAGGTGAAAATTCCAATCATTAATTGTTATTTTCAAATATCTGAGAGAAATTATGAG